TGAGTAGGGGAAAATATATTGCTATTTTGTGTTAGCATATAGCATATTAATAAACATCCAACCCCGGTAATTCTACGCACCTATTAGACATATCATTTACATACATTTGCCCTTACAATAGAAAACATTTTCAGGAGACTAATCGCATACCTATCGGTCGCACTCGTCATGCGTCATGGGATTGCTAATCCGACTGGCATAAGAGCTATATATATATACATATATAATTGTTCACCTAACTATATATATACATATATAATTTTTCACCTAACTGGTCTAGACGACAATGACCACGTCTCAAGTTATATACATATATATATACATATATATATACATATATATATATATATATATAACTTGAGATGTGGGTATTGTTTAGACCAGTTAGGTGAACAATTTGTTGGGTACTTCGACAAATTTAAGCAAAGAGGACTCTTTATACTTTATTAATCTCTAGCTTTCAATGGACTTTGTCATCTTCATCAGGAGTTGCAATAACATTGAGAAGAAATGTTGCTAAATGTTATTAACGTTTAGGTTGAGGGAAACAACCAGTAACCTGGTGAATGCTGGAAACATGGTACATTCGTCACAATAAATATAAACTACACACAGCTGTATGTCAGGAACAAATTGAAACGGATTAAAATTATTTAGAGTGTAATTTGATGAGGCTACTTTACTTCGAAAGCTAATATAACATAATATAGTACATATAGTGTATAAGCATTATACCAAAGCTCCAAAGAAATAGGGCTACCATATATGGACACGCACATTGATACAACTTGAGACATTTGTTTCTAATGTAAAACCCTATTTAGGTTCTGATAAAACCTACATCTTTCTGATGTCATTCCATTATATGGAAAATTGTAGGAGAAGTTGTGGAAAATATAGAGTCAATCCAGTTGACGCCATTGTTATATCGTAGGTTCCTAGTGCCGCCTGGATCCTTGTGGCCTTAAGAAGAACGCCATTTTGGTCGGCCTAAGATGTTTTTATATGATATTGATAAACATTATTGGCAACTTGCCTGTTACCGATATAACAGTCATTAAAATTATTTTCGAAATATTTTCACGAATACATGTTGAGTTTTACGATAACGTTCCAGTAATTGTGTATTTTTTATCAGAATATATTACTGTAAGTACATGACATGTCATTCTTGGGAAATACCTTTAAAGGTAGATTTAATAATATAATCAGATATTTTAATCGCAACGTTAGTTTTCACTTAATCGGCTGATTTATTTTATTGGCCTTGTAGAGAGTCTTGTTCTTTGCAATGCCGTTCAGTAGAGTTTAAAAAAGCGGAATTAAATAAGCAAATATTAACTCTGTAATAAAATGCTTATTAAGTTAAATAATAGAATAAAGAGTTAATCAATTTATTTTTTCATTTATCCAGTAAATAAAGGAATAATAAGTGTGTATTTGTTAGCGTGGCTTTTCATCGCTCATCCACCTTATTTCGCTGCCAATAATGTGAAATAGGCTGTGCAGTCCTATTTAGTACTTACCTTAGGTAGCTTAAAAATCGCATCATCAAGATATGCTAACTTTTCATAGTGGTCGCGATATTTCAGGAGAACGGCTCTGTCCCTAAGGCTGCTCTAGTATAAGAAAACTTCTCAATACTATATAAAAAACAGCGCAAATAAAGTTCAATAACACCCGAAGAGGTACTTTCCAAAATGTGCATTTCAACTATTTCGTTTATTTTGTTTCCGAGATACATTTTGAGCGCTCTTACTTTTTTATGAGCGAGAATTGGCAGAACTTGCACTTCAAATTTCAAGCGCCAAATTTCGCGCCAGAATTGTGATGTGATAAATTTGACGTCGTCTCATACGTACGTAGATAAACCGGGGCCAGAAGCAAATAAATACGCTAACGCCAGAAAACCCTGAAATCCCTCAGCACGAATCTCTTACCTTTCAAATTTTGTCTCAAAAATGAGCAAAAAGTTCTGGAATGTCGAGAAACGAAGTTCTTGCATCTTTCTACTAAGTTCTTTCGTCCTTGGCATAGTAGTGACCTTGAGTCAAAGTTCCATCAGAAGCCGAGCAATGTTTTCGGCGTATTATACTAGTGGACAGACACAAACACATATCACACATATACGAGGAATGTCTTTTAAGTTTTGCATATGGAAATAGAACAATACGGTAAGTAGTTTTAAATGACTTTATTGTCACCTTGGAACATCCAAACAGCCGACTGTCGTTTATTTTCTGGTTCATAACAGTAAATCTACGACTCGTTACCACTAATAATGCTGTTTTGAGTTTCCGGAATTGAAACGATCAAGCGTTTTTTGACACCAATTAACCCTGGCTGCTTTCTGCTCTCAGTCAACAGGTGGGGTATCCAATGATAAACAAATTTTCTTACTCCTAATTCTTCATGCAAAATTTTTTAAATTGAGGTCTTTGAGATCTTCAAGGACGCTTCAATCTCGCGATATGTCACATGTCTATCTTCAATGATGAGTTTGCGCACAGCATCCACGTTTTCCTGGGTGACTACCGTTTTTGGTGCACCCACCCTGGGATAAACGCTAAGACTCACCCGTCTACGTTTGAATTCTCCATACCAACGGGAAATTGTCGACTGATGTGGCGCTTCGTTGCCGAAAACAGACAGTAACTCAGCAAGGCATTCTTGTTGCGATAATTGTCTCTGAAAGTCGTAATAAATTATGGCGCGAAAATGTTCTCGGTTGAGTTCCATTTTTCTAATGACTTGGTGACACTTAAAAATTCACTGTAGTGAGAACACTGCACGTATTGTTGTGAAACTTTGGATTTAAGTTTACTAAAGAGTGAGGTTAAGATTCAGTACTGACGTTCGATCCGCGCGGCCTACTATGTTCCTATATGCAAAACTTAAAAGACATCCCTCGTACCAACAGATAAAGAGACCGATTGACAGAAAGATACAAGCGAGTAGCGTGGTTTTTATCCCCCCTTCAAAGTGCTAGCCTTGGTCATTAGATATCTCAAATTAAATTGGTGTAGCAAGACAAACACTTATTGTTTGCAAGAGAAAATTATCCATTTGATATCCATCTCAAACCTTCATCAATAGTATCTTCAAGCTGCTAATATTAGCAGCTGTGTATTCATCTGAAGCTAACTAATTCTTAATTAACGATCAAGTCCTAAGTGAAACTAAATTGGACCAATTAACCTTACAGGGAAAGTAGGTTCATCGCCCACAAAAGTTTTTCAACTTCCCTCATCGATTGCACAGCGTCGTCATTTGTCTTCTGCCTTATCTGTCGGCAACGATTTTATCTCTCTGAGCTAGAAAAATAGCGGAGGAACTAATTGGATACCAATTAATCTGACGAAGGCGATGAACTGTCCCGTGAAACGTGGAAAATTATTTTGTCATGCTGCACGGGAGTAGCAGTTACGTCTGCATCGCTGGTATATTCAAGAAATATAGGTTCATTGCATCCATGAACTATGATTTCTTTGCCTTTATACCGAAGCCATTTCGCAGGCAGAGCCTAAATGCCAGGACACCGCGGCTGCTATGAGGAGTTTAAGGAAACTTTGTTCATTCGAATTTTTTGTTCCACAATCTCGATACCTTAGGACAACAAAGCGGTCGTATCGAAAACAGGCGGGTGTGTTTGGCAGGCACAATTGGCGGCGGCATCATAAAGGAGAGCCCTTTGGCATAGCGGTAGAAAAGAATCAGATCGCCGTCGGCCCCCGGTGCAAAAGGGTCACGAGACTGTCTGTTAGAGAAGAGTCATCGATCAGTCAGACATCCTTCCTCTGAACAGCATCGAGCATGTCTAATGTAGTCAAGGGGACTGCATCCTAAACATGTGAGGCTAGCTCATATCTGGGCCTTGTACAGAGTGAGGAGGTAATGTGGAGAAACGTACTTCTTAGCTCTGAAGAAATAGCCCAGCTTTTTCCCAGCAGGTGTCGTTATTGACGAGATGCGTCCGTGCCAGATGAAGTCCTCGTTGATCTGGACTCCGGCCAGCTGAAATGAATACATGTAATTCGGTGTTCTTAAATTGTTCTACTGAGACCCAGGTTAACGGTCATAGTAGCAAAGCATATGCGAAGAATAGTGTTGTCACATTTCTGATTATTAATTATAAAGAATATATTTTTGAAGTTCAGTACCCTATATTGATACAACGGGTATTTCAAATTCGACTCTTACCTTTGATATATCGGAAGCGGTAAGAAATACGGAGTCAGTTGCATGGGGACAAGTTTACGCACTTAGGTAACTATGAAAATGACACTTAGATATTTGCAGTTCAGAGTATTTCCCGAGATGGACGAAAATATCCGATATGCCATGTACAAGAAAAAATAGAAGGTGTCGAGGACAAAAAATGACAATGTTAATATGCAGTTTATTAGGACAAAATAAAAACAATTTTGCGAACATTCGGTTTTTTCGTCTGTCTTAGTAAATACTCTGAATAGCTAAACTTTCTAAGTGCAATTTTTTTAGTTGCCTGAATGCGTATCTTTGTTCGCATGTGTTACCATTTCCTTGATTCCACTGATGAGAGTCAAACGTGAAACCGCTTGTATAGAATATGGAAGGTATCAATTTCTAATTAGTGTGATGCGTAATTAAGTGACCTTCTCCTATTAAGCACCGGTCCGACCGCAAGTAAATCTGATCATTAAGTCTGGGCACCAGCTGGCGGAAGAACTTCAATTTTTAGATAATTTTCTCTCAATTGACAGCACCCACAGAAACCAGAAATTATCTAATTGCAATAAAACTGAAATTTGTGTAACTAGCAAAATTGTTATCACTCTCCTAAATTGAAAAGAGTGGACGTGTTTTAAAGCTTTTTTCCACCCATAAACTTGAAGATGTCGTTTTCTAGACACACTACTAAATAAATTAAAGGAGAAGTATATTCATCTACCCGCTCAATATTTTTTGAAGTTAACTCTGAAGGAGTAATGAGGTTTTTAGTTAATAATTTATTCATTTACCCGTATTTGAAAGCTTTGCTGGTCTATAGCAGTGCGATCGGGAGATCTATTAAACTGCCCACCATACAGGGCTATTCGGTCACTTTTACTGCAGCCCGTAACCATCAGTAGAATAGTGCTGAATCTCCAACGACCCATCGATCTGAAAGATATTTATAAGGAGGAGTCACCGATCAGCGGGATATCTCTTGTGTAAGTACCGTATGAACCGTTCAGGCAGAGCTGCTGCTATACCGATAAGCTACTTAAGCTACTAGCATTCCAAACATCTCTCTTATAGATACATATGCTGATTGGCGTCCATACGCGGACGTTTGTTTATGTAAGCTCACAGAAATACGTTTTTTCCCATTGTCTTAAACATTTTCTCGTCAAAGTATGAGTCTTCCACACGTATACTTGTCATTATCGGCATGACAACTAGCTTCGCATAAGCATGCCAGTTTGCATTTTGTTGATGTTTGGTATAAAACGTAGCGATGCTCGAAGATGCAACTACAATGCCGACAGTATTAAATTTATTGGAGTACATTTGGGAAAGTGAATTCATGTGTGTAGAAGGGCGAGTAGCAGCTGCGTCAAGAATCGGCTTGTGCAGCTTCCCTTAGGGAAATCACGCTCCGCAAATCGTGACGTCACCGCCAAAAAGGGAAAAAGAACTATACTTCAAGGAAGAGAATGGCAGATTATGACAAACATGTGCCACGTTCTTGTGTGTGAGTTAAATCACGAAGATACTTATGACATTTCTGGTGTATGTCTTGACCTAAATGATACGGAATTGTATTCATACTAGCTATACTAGGGGTTTGGATGAGTGGTTCAATAGTGGGATTTTAAATCAGTAAATTTAATAAATTTGAAGTGCCTAATGGAGTATTTCATAACGCTGTTAGATACTGTGGAATGCTACGACATATTTCTAGATACTAGTACTTAACGATGCAACAAGGAAGCAGCAAGAATAGCTAGAAATATTTCCAGGTTAACTCGCAAGTTGGTGGAAGGAGTAGTTTTTTTTATTAATGCGCACCAAAAATGACTGAATAATACTTGGACAATACGTAAAAATAGATCTTGGATCGGTTCATCCCTCAGCCAGTACCTATAGGCATTTACAGAAACTGGAATGTAGGCCTAATTTATAGTTCTCCTAAAACTTTTTCATGCAAATTGCGTTTGATTAACTTAAGCTAACTCTATGGACATGCCGCACACTAACCTTTTTCAAGAGCTATATTATACTAAGTATAACTAGAGTAATAAATCGTAGCAAACAATAATAAGTTAGCAGGTAAAAGTATTCATTTCAGTAAGTATATTGATTTATTATGCTTTAACCTTGTTGCTAGAAGCATATTTTTATAGTTTTTATTCATATAACGTTCAGACAAAATTTCCCAGTAGGGGTAGCCATAAAGTGATTGTAAGGAGTCTCAAGAATAAGTTCTACTTCCAGATATGAATGATTTTAAAGTTTTTCATGAGATTCTAACTTGCAAATAGAGCATCATTAGTTGATTCTTTAAATGCGTTACTGATGAGAGAAGTGCAAGCGTATTACAATTACCTCGATAATCGAACAGAGGGTTCCAAAAATACCAACTCATATGAGTTCTATCAAAAACGCTAGATAAACTACAAATATTTCGTTAAATTTCCATAGAGGCAGGAGTGAGATAAATTGACCAATGACAGTCTACCGTTACCTGTCGCATGACAGTGTCACCACTTCCTCACTTTGACTTTTGTAATATTATTTGCTTGCGCCGTTCTAATAATCAATTCTCAATTCCGAACGCTCTTTCCAACCTAAATAAGTTACATTTTCAGCACATTTCATTTAATGAAAATCAACAACTTTAGGATTCCAACTTCTGTATACATCGCATAAATATTAGCGCTTGCTTAGTATGATAGCACGCTTGGTGGCCCAAAGGATAGGCACACTTGGACAATTAACGCCCCAATTGACCCCGACTGTTTCTCTACCTTTTTCGATACATTTAATATTTTTATTCATCAAAATGTCACCGTATTCAACCATGATTTATTCATATGTGAATAATTAGTAGTAACATTATTAATATAACTCAAATAAGGCTGTACAGTTTCTTTTTATCTAAAATTAACTATATCTTGATAAAGTAAATTACTACAACGTTTTTCTAATGCCAAATAATAATTTTATAGCAGTTCATAAAAATATTGAATTTTATTTTTATAACAAAACATAATAATTATGGTACAAAATCGTACTCTACTCTCCATCTCGTTAAAGGTCATTTTTTATAATTTTTGTCAACCGTAAATAGGAGAGGTGAAGGTGACTTGCTATTTCCGTTGCTCTCGAATGACAGCGCCACAACCCGATTTGGTGATATAATTTCACCGGCAGTGCTGCGCCCTTACCGGGTTGTGGAGATTTTGAGAGAAGTCAGCCTCCATTAGTGATTCTTTTTGTCGGAGGCACTTTCTCACCCTCTTAGGGATTTAGCCGTTGTCACAACTACACTAAACTATCGAGCCTCACGTTGGGCGCCAGTATTATCGCGCGTTTACTGTGTTCAGTTGGTAGATATCTTGGAACTAGGTGGCGCCCAAACCACAACCATTTACATCCAAAATCCAAAGTAAAAAAGAACCACCGCCTAAGGGCTCATATCTACCAACTGAGCACAGTTTACGCGGGATAACAGATAATAATAGAAAAAACCGCTATCGCTCTATGTCAACCCATGTCATCACTAGTACAAGTTCAATACTGTAGGTGCCACACTAGGGGGCGGCAGTATTTGCAATAGAAATATAATTGTAGGTAGCAGTGATGAAAGCTAAAATGGCAAAAGAAGGTGACTATGAATAGGATTCGAACCAACTCCTGAAATTGTGTCACAAAAGTCACATTTTTGTCAAGATATATCAACTTTCAACATGGCCTATACATAGGGTGTTTGTCCGATATGACTATAGCCAAATGCCAAAATTGATGACAGTAGCAGAAGTCATCGTGTGCCACTGCTTTGACGCGGTACCTTTTGATTACAGCGATGGTTGCCGACATTTCACAAAGAAGCGCCACATTTTCGAAGGCCTCCGCATAATAGTAGTGGCATACGATGAGTTTCGCTACTGTCATCAATTTTGGTATTCTACTATTGATGAAAAAAGAAGGATGAAGAAGAGCAACAAGATGATATAGATTAAAGTTATTTAATCAAGAATAATGCAAAGCAAGAAGTACAGTACCTGAAGAAGCTATTAGAAACAAAGAATGAAATAATTTTAGATAAAAAAAGGTATATCAATCAATTAGTTAATGAGAACACACGTTTACAGGAACATTATGAATTGATCATTAGCAGTATAGTGAATAAAGAAACCATAATCACTTCTTTGGGGAAAATAAATAAAAGAGTTGAAAAAATAGAAGCTGCTACCTCATACACCCATTGTAATGATGTAATTAAATCATATAGCGGGGCTGTAAAAGAGTCAAAAAAGCAGATATTAGAAGATTGTCGAGAAAATTAATAATACGCAAAAGTTGATGATAAAAAGTACGGACAAATGAAACTCTAATGCGTTGGAAGATTTGAAGAGCAGCATTGATCCAGCTAAGTCAAATATCTGTGTGCAGTCTGCGAAGAGTGTGAATAATGGTGTCATTCTTAGCTGCGAAGATGAAGCATCATTGTCCAAGCTGATGGCGAGTATACAGGGAGAACTCGGTGCTAACTTCACTGCCAATGAGATCAAGAAGTATCGCCCACGCATGGTGATAAATAATGTAGAAAGCGCCTACACAAAATCTGAGGGATTTATCGAGAAGATCTGGTCCCAGAATGAATTTGGAATTTTCAGTAGTGATGATATAAAAGCTGTAATCACTTTCAGATGTTCCAAATCTACGTTTTAATGTTGTCATTGAGGTTAGCCCAAAATTTAGAAAAAGGTTGCTGGATGGAGGTCATATATACATGGGTTGGCCTGTTGGCAAAGATGTCATGTGCGCGATTATGTACGAATTATATCCTGCTATAAATGTTCAGGTTTTGGCCACATGGAAAAAAATTGCAAACATTCTAAAGAATCATGTCCTCGATCATGTCCTTGATGTGCTGGAGAACATTAAGAAAAAAATTGTAAATCGGCTTTTAAGAATTGTTCAAACTGTATGAATCAAAATTCTAAATTCAACACTCAATTTGATACGAGTCATTCTTCTGAAGCCTTAGATTGTCCAATCTATAAAAAACATGTTACATACTTATAATCTAAAACTGAATATGAATAGTGATAAATTCAAGGTTTTAAAATTTGGTCATATAAACTGCAGATCAGTTTTAACAGGATTTCATGAATTTAGTATTCTGGTTCAAAACAACCACCTTGATATTGTTGGAATATCGGAAACGTTGTTATCAAAAAATATATCTAATGAACATATAAGAATCAATGGATGCAACTGCTATCGCTGCGATAGAGATGGGCGAGGTGGTGAGGTTGCAGTCTTTGTAAACAACCACTACCACACTTCCATAATGTCATTGGGGCAAGGACCAAGTCTTGAATATATATGGTTGAAGGTGCAGCTTCCAAAACAAAAAATTGCTATTGGTATATTCTATCGGCCCCCACATAGCTCTCTTACAGAAGCCGGTAATACCTTTGATGACATTAGCTGAATATGATGATATCATCCTTGCAGGGGATATTAATGTTAATTTACTTTTAGTTTGTAAAAACTTGACTAAATGCCTTGATTCTTATAATCTGAAACATGTGATATCTGAACCGACTACGATAACTGAATCGACACTCACTCTCTTAGATCCTATTTATTTGAGCAACCCTGAAAAATGTCTTAGGAGTGACACAATTAATGCTGATATGATCACTGATCACTATTTAACCTTCTGTGATATACGTATTGCACTTCCTAAAAATCAAGAGAAATTTGTGACATTCCATAGTTTAAATGAAACAGCGTTTGAACAAGATCTCAAGAGTTTACGATGGTGGCATATTATATCGATAGAAGACATTGAAGATAAAATTAACTTCTTAACAGATATGTTTATTTAATGTTTACTGTCCAAAAAAAGGTAGTGCGTGTAAACAAAGCTCCAGCTACTAGGT